TTCTTCCTTAGGGAGTAGTTAACCACGGAAGTTACTCATGTGCGCCCTTTATTTTTTTTTATTTAAACATAGAAACGAACGATTCCGAAAATATTCCGAAAACGATAACACTACTGACAAACGAAACGAAAGACTTTCGCGCAAAGATTCAATTTAAGAAAAAAACTAAAATTTTTTTTTAATTTTTATTGTAGAATTTTTATTTTTAAAAAAAAATCTTTAGATGGTCGTACTAAAAAAAATTGTGGTAATGAATTAAAATTTCTCTTTGAAAAAAAAATGTTATAAAAAAAAACCCCCAAAAGATTTACAATAAGAATCCGGAGAGAAAATCCACTCCTAAAAAAGCATTATTATCATAAAAGTTGTTTGACTAGGCCCATTAAGATACAACAAATCTCCTTTCTTGCAGCATCCTCAACATTTTCAGGTGTCAATCCGCCTGCTAATATAATAGGAAACTCTCCCTTCGGATATATTTTGTTTGAAATACTTTTGTTAATTTTCAAAGCGATATCCCAATCAAATATTTATGTGAGAAGCTTTAATGACGGGAACTGTAATAAATCTCGCCAAATCAGATTGCTTATCACCGTGTAATTGAACTAAATCTAATTTAAGTATATCAGTGATTGATTTTGAAATACACCTACAATCAAAGGTTTCCTAGCGCGACTTATTCTCGTAGCATGCAATTAAAACACATGGTGTCAACTCATCTTTATCATCAGTAATTTCAATTGTCTTTTCTGATTGCATTTCTCTAATAACATTAACAATCTCCAATGCTAGATTCAATAGAACTTGTCTTCTAGAATTTGCAAAGATAAGGCCAATAATATCGGCCCCAGCATCAGCTGCTTCAATGGCCACTTCAATAGTTAAAATTCCGCATATTTTTACTAAAGGACTTCTTGGTGCTTTGATTTTCAATGATAATGTTGCGCTATCTACATTTGCATTCTCCTCTTCTTTTAATTCAAGTATCCCTTTAACATAATTTTTGATTTCATTAATGCTTCACCAATTAAAACCACAAACACCTTGTTCACGGTAACTAACCACATCAGCACGACCGGTAATTCCACTCAAAGCCACCAACATAACACCTTCGGGAACCAATTCAGCCAACCTGGAGGTTGTGTTCATATCGACGTCAAAAGTATGATTTAATCCGATAACCTTTGCTCCCAATTTCACGGCCCTCCTCATTTCTTCTTCGTTATTAACTTCCACCAAAGGTTCCATTCCAAGATTATTGGAAAAGTTACCCTTAAACCATTTAGATTCAGTTAATACTGAAATGACCGAGGCCCCAGCTTTAGCATAGATAAGTGCTTTCTCGGCCGCATTGACCATATGACGGATATTTTGATGTAGTTTGTTAATCCTTGTAAAGAAATCGATAAGAGGAGGCGCTACATGAAGAGAATTTCTTTAAATCGGTAAGTGAAGAACCTGGTTGTCCTTTTGCCAACTCGATATCTTTTAATCATTGATTATGAATTCTTTTCGAGTATAATTTGCACAGGTTTGTTATGACAAAGTTTCTACCAGAGGTGGTTTAACGCAGAATGCAAGGTTATCTTCCCATTACCGCCTTGAAGCCTTAAGAAATTCGATAAAATGACCTTTCCATGTTCAGAAAGAATACTTTCGGGTGAAATTGTATACCTTCGATTGTAAATTCACGAAGTCTTACGCCCATCAAGACACCAGATTCCGTCCAGTTAGTAGTTTCCAGTTAATGAATGATATCAGGTAGCTTTGATACCTTTTGGAACATTAATATGACAACCCTTACCATCATGTGTTATAGTATTAATTTTCCCCCATAAAATTCAAAAATACATTGTTCTCCAAGACATACACCAACAATCCTGGACCCGGTGAAGTCATTATATTTTTTGGATTAATTGTTCAACTGTGGTCATCATTACGAAATACTTGAACTTATGCACCGAGTTCTGATATGTATTGATAAACATTCCAAGTGAATGAATCATAATTATCAATTAATATCATAATATTTGATGTCGATAAAAAGTGAAAAAATCAGAACAAAAAAAAAAAAAATTACATGACAAATTTTTTATTGTTACATTGACTACACAAAGCTGAGTGCTTAAATAAGAAATTCATTCCTAAATGCACTTGCGTGATTCATGTCGGGGGCGGGTCCGTAGCCTTGATTTTTTCCGTATCGTTAATCATTACCTTCGAATATGGAACAACTATTTCGACATGTGATCAACGAAAAAAAAAAATCTTGTTCGAAGATAAATAATTAAATTAATGAATCATATTAAGGACTGAATACTAATTGTTTTCATTAGGAAAAAGAAATTCTTCTAGCTTTTAAGGATGTTAATTATTGAGAAAATATATCCTACCGAAGAATTAATATTTAAGTGTATAAACTAGTTACTTCTAAATTAGTTAATAATAATGATGATGAGGATCAAAATGATTTAAGATTATTGTTTATAAGATTTTTTTTTTAGAATTTAAAGTAGTTTTTTTTTTTCATGCTTATAAATGAAATAGGTCGAGCTGAAGCGCCGCTAAAACAATTTTTTTATATTTTATTTAACGAAAATAAAAAATCACGAGTTGATCAAAAGTTTAACGAAATTAATTTTAGATACTGTAATTCAACCAAATTATGAATAAAATCCCATATTTTTCACCGGATTTCATTGTAGTAACATTTTTAGTAGTTCTGTTCTTTACCGATTTTTTTTGTTTCAAGGTTTCGATACCTCTAAATAAATAATAAAAATATTTATTCTTTTAGTTAAACGACATTTGCTTGCCGTTACCCAATTTGGCACATTATCCCTATCGTTCTAGTCTGCTGCTTCGTTTCTGTTCACATTCACATGAAAGCATATCTCGAGATTACCTGAAGTTTGAGGTAAAAACTTGATTATATGGGAAGAAAATCAGGTTCCGAGAATTTTTGACTAAAATTTAATCACATTATAAACTAAATGCGGAACCTGATTTTCCTAGAAATCAACCCATATTTTCCTTTATAAAAAGGCACCTTTACATTCATAAAGAAATCTTCAAGAGAATAAAAAACGTGAGCCGAAAATTTTATTTTTGTATTCATTTTTGTTGGCGAAATAAATTGCACTATTATTAAAATAATTTGCTTGTCACATGACATTTACCCAACATTATGTATCATTGTTAAAAAATTTGGCGAACTTAATTAACTTCTCACATGACTAAATTTTATTGGTTGTCAAGCATCTGTAATTGTACAACTTAAATTTTGGGTGCGCATATGCTTAATATTTTAAATAAATCTTGTTATCAATGCCTTGACAATTATTTGACAAATTGATGACATTACTAAACGTTCTAATAAAATCAATCTTAAAATGATAATAAAAAAAAAAAAATACAAGGCACATATTTATTTAATAATTTTTAATATTTTATTTAGGATGGACGTTTAAAATTCCTGAGTAATTTATTCTGCGCAGTTATGTTTTGAGAATACAAATTTGCTGTCACCATGCTGATAGCATCATTTACTATTCTTCTCAATTCCTCTTGTTGCACCCATGATTCATCTTCTATTACTTGATATATGGCAGAAAAAGCTGTAATTTATCCTAATGGTGAAGCTGTAAGAAATTTATAAACACTAGCAAAAGTAGGTCATTTTTAACATATGATTTCTGATACTTTATATTGGATTCAACTCCATGGACACATGAGAAGTGCTCTGACTATAGTTTTGCAAATTCTAAAATCTATATATGAAATAGAGTTGTTACAATGTGTAGGTTATGCAGAGATAGCAAATAGGATCTTATTGAATGTTAGAATAATATGACTTACTATAAACTTTTATGCTACAATTAGTTTTTATTTAGATTTAAAACATCTTGAACCTTTTGAATATTTGACTGCCTAAAAATAGCATTGGTTTGGGTTCATTATTATTAATATATGTAAAGTTTCTAATAATTTTAACAGTTTACCTCTTTATCCTTTATACTAACTAGCATATCTATAAACTATTTTAATAAATTAGTAATATACTTAGAATTATCTTATTGTAAAATTAGATAGTATATCACTTTTTCATCTATGTGTATTAATTGCTGAATTATTTATACTTTTAAACTCGCTACTAAGATCTAAAAAGAATAGAAATTATTAAATTATTTATATTATAATGTAAGTACTTTAAAGATAAAAATTATTCATCTGATTTTTTAATTTCTTTTTCTAAGTTTTCAAAATAAGTACATCTTTTGTATTAGTAATATGAGATTAAACAATAGTTGATCATATATTTAAGCTGATTATTTTTTACTAATACCTATTTTTTACTAATAGATCATACTTAATCCACTTATTATTTTTGTTATCATAATTACCATTATTATCTCTCTCATTATTTGAAGTTAGAGACATGTATTGAAGATTTATAGATTTAAAAAGAATAATGCATAACTAATTAAAATTAGATTGTATTTATTAGGATAACTACCTTGATTATAACCAGTTTTTTCACAAATACTATATTTATGTATATTTAATTTTTTGAAATTGATTAATTAACTAATTAATAATATTTTTAGTTTTATTAAGCCATTTTTATATTCTATCTATTTTGATAAAGATATTATTTTATTATAGATAAGATTTTTAAAAAAGTTTTATAAAATATCTGAATCCAAATCTTCTTTAGTAAAAAAACCTATTTTTTTTTAAAAATTTGACTAGATAATAATTTTTATAATATTTTTTTAATTTAATGATATAATAGATCTTTTTTGACTATCTAATTAGTTTAATAGTTTATAGAATTGATATCTGTGCTTTTTGTACATTCTAAAATTAGAATTTTTATCTTAATTTTTCCATTTAATATCAAAATTGAGCTTCTATTTTACTAATGTCTTATCAATTATTTATTGTATATCTGATATATAAATATCAATTGTATAATTATAAAAGATTCTATTATTTTAGAATTATAGAAAGATTGTTGAAAAACTTGACCTTCATTTAAATTTAATATATTTTTTAACTATATATTTTTTATTTTAATAAAATTTATTAGTACTTACTAGATTAACAATTTTCATTCATATATAAAAATCACCTGTTAAATAACTTTTAAAAAATCTAAAACTTGTATATTATTATTTGCTACTTCTAATAATTATAGACAAATTTTAATTTTATAAGTATCAGAAGTATCATAGGGTTGATATTTTTTTAAATTAATCTTTAAATAGCTGATTATTGATTTTCAATTATTTTTTTACTAATATTTTATTTTAATTTTTTTGGTATTTTTAATTTAAACTTATTTCATGTATTATTATGATAAATAATATTATTTTTCTTAATTTATTAATTTGTTTGTGTTAATCATTTGTTTACTAATTTTGTAAATCTTTTATATAACACTAATTATTTGCAGATCATTTGATATTTGATATACTATATATTTTAATTATGTAAATTTTTAGATTTCATTATTTAGAATATAAATTATAATAATAAAAGTAAAAATAATTTTTAAATTAATTTATTAATTAAATAGTTACAAAAAAATTAAATTAAATTGAAAAAAATTTTTAAGCAAATTCAAACAACTATCTGTAAAAAAAATTGCTAAAAATATTATAAATACTAAACATTTAAGAAATATTTTTGTTTAAAAAAATAAAATCAATTATCTTATATTTATAAATTTTATAAAAGTTTATATAAAACCAAAAATATTAAATAGATATAAATAATTAAAGTTTTAAAATATTTAAAAATATTTGCTTAAAATAAAACTTAAGTTATATTTAATATATTACAATTAAAATAATTTAATTTAATTTAAAAAAATATAAAAATGATAATAAAATTATTATATAAGAAATTAATTAATTTATAAATATAATATAATTATAATTATTATAATTATTATTTATTTAATAATAGTTAAGAAACAGATGAAATTTTCAAAATAGTAGTATAGATTAAAAGACAAATTTTAAAGTTATAATATAATTTTTAAAATAAGCAATAACATTAAATTAATAATAACATATATATAATATTTTTATAAATTATGACAAAAAATCTACTATTTCTTAATTAATTTTATAATTTTCAATATAATTTTCTTTATTATTTTTATATATAATTTCTTATATATCATTTTTTTTTTTAAAAAAAAAACAATTCTTTATAAAATATAAGAAAATGTAATACAGAATCTTAAATATATATAAAACTTATTTAAAATAATTAAATAATTTATGCAAATTTTTATAAAATACATAATCTATATTTGTAAATTATATGTATAATTAGAAATTACTTTTATAAAATAGATTAAATCTAAAATCATGATTCATTTTAAAATATACTTTATATTATATAATATGATTATAGTTTAAAAAGAGATCAAAAAATTTTAAATATAATATTTTAGATAAGTTTATCATAAATTTTTTAAAGTTTTAAAAATATATAAATATTTTATAGTAAATTTATTAATAATTTAATTTAGCTTACTTGTTAATTTTAAATATATTAAAAATTATTTATTAACAAAAAATTATTTTTATAATTAAAGTTTAAATTGAAAATTATGACTAAATTTGGATGAAAAATTCTTACCATTTAAGGAATTTTTAATATAAAATATTAATATATTAATTAATATAATTGCCAAACTTTTTGATAATGCAGGCCGATAATGCAGACCGAATTTTCGTACAAAAAAACTTGTGCTAACCCCAAATTTTTTGTGCCATGTGCATATTTACATTTTTGTCGACTTTTTTAAATTAGACGTGCATTTATATTTTCGGTAAAGTTTAAAATTTGTAAGTCATAAGAATGTATACCCCCACTCGACGTAGTATTATTAGTGGAGTCGATAAAGCGGCCAATACGGTTATCTTTGCTATTGGCCCTATATTTATCTTGCTAGCAATAGGGTTGCTCGGGATGGCAACACTGACATATTTTACGGTTGTCTTTCCTTATTTCTATAAATGGGACGACGATTATATTTGGACAAAAGTTTATTATTATATTGGCTTAATATTTAGTATATATCTGGTTGTTTGTATCTTTTTTCATTATTACATGGCGGTTAGAACAAAACCCGGAGGTGTATTGAATGCTGGAACTGCCGAAACGGTAAATACACAATATTAAATTCATTTTTTTTTTTTTTGAATTAAAAATGATCAATTTTTTTTTTATATAGGAATCAGATGATCCAACATTACAAGGATTATTTCTTGAATTGGAGGAATATGCAGAATTTCCAAAAACATGCAAAAAATGTAAACTCATACTCCTTTTAAAAAGATTGAATTAGTAATTTATGCACAAATATATCTTTATGTTTATTTATGTTTAATTTTAGGTCATCTTCCAAAACCTGAAAGAGCACATCATTGTTCAGTGTGTAAAAAATGTGTATTAAGATTTGATCATCATTGTCCATGGATAGCGAATTGTGTTGGACATTTTAATCATAGATATTTTTTACTTTTTATGACTTACTTGGTAATTGCTTGTTTTTATTTTGCTATTGTTGGATGGAAAATCTTTTTGCTTAGTCTTGACATTGAAGCTGAGGTAACCGTAAAATAATTAATTTCTTTTGTAATGTAATGAATTGAATCAAGCTAATGCTATTATTTATGAAGTGGGATTATTGGATGCCAAGACCATACATGGCTTTATCATTCTTGCTTGCTGTCGCGATTGGAATAGCATTAGGTACTTTGAATGTGTCCAATATTTACTACCAAATATGTTAAATTGTATTTTTAATATTTTTAAAATCGTTTTTCTTGTGAAATATACTTGTAGGAGGGATGTGTTCATGGCATTATTATTTAGTAAGTTATTAATATAATATTATGGTTTAAATAATATTTCATTTAAATTTATCTTTATAACAAATTTTTTTTAGGTTTTAACATCGCAAACAACAGTAGAATTTTATAATAATCAATATGCGAGACGTTCAGCTAAACAAAAAGGAGAGGTAATAACTAAATGATTTTGAACAATCGACCTCTCTTTTTTTTTTGACTTAGTATCTTGAAATCTTTTATTTTCCTTAGGTATATGCAAATCCATATGACTTGGGATATTTGAATAATTTACGTCAATTCTTTAACGTTGGCCATAATTAGTAAGTTTCTATTTATTCTGATTTTTTTTTCACGTGAATTCACTAATTTTTCTTTTAAAAAACATTTTTTTTTTAAAAAAAAACCAGCAAATAGTAAGTGACAATTCATTCACTTTTTTTGATTAAAAAAAAAAAAAATTTTTTAATTATTTAACAATCACTATTTATAGTTCCATATATACAATCCTCCTTCCTATACCAGTACTACCGCCGGGTAATGGTAAAGTATGGGAGAAGAGCGCGATGCACTATACAACAGTTAATAACGATATTTCAGATGATACCGATTAAGCAATGCTACTAGCATTTATTGAGCACACTCTTGATATTAATGAAGTTACTAAGACTTTTGGTATACCAAGGGTTCTTTTTTTAATAATGAAACCTATATGGTAATATGATTGTATACAAAAAAAAGACTAGCGTAGAAATTTGCATTCCAGGGTTCAGGTTGTACTGTTTTTGTTTATCCTTTGGTTTTGACGTTTGTATATATTCCTTTCATAGATATAAAATTCATGATTTACTTATTAATCAAAATATACAAGTTTTCCCTTCCCTTTTCTCTCTTTATTTTTTATTTTTTATTTTTTTTTTTTTTTTTTGTATATTAGAGCATCTTTAACAAATCAAATTCCAATATCGAAAAAAAATTTTAGTTTAATCATTAAATTTCACATTCAAAATTATTCGATTTTTTACTTTTGTATTTTCGTACATGAATTTATTTTTTTTTTCCTTTTGTTGTCGTGTAACAAAAGTTTAAACGTAGATTTTTCCATAAATGGTATCAAGTACATGGTCAATGCGTGTGAAAAATGCCATATAAATCTTTAGACTTGCACGATGATATGAATTTAAAATTCGAATGGATTAAAAGAGAGAAGGATATCAAATTCGTTTTTTTGTATTTGTCTCATTTAAAAAATCAAAGGATAATTAATTTAATAAACAGATGAAAAAAAGATCCAAAATTTCCATTTATAGAGGACAAAATTAAATTCATGCTAGGTAGATCATTGTATAACTCACGTGGGATTTCGGGATTAATATTTCAACCAAAAGGGAGGAAGAAATCGGAATGTTTACAGAACTTTTTAAATGACGCAATATCTTATGTAATCAAAATAAAAATTCAATTAGACAAGGATAAATTTTGAGATCATCACAATGCGTAATTCGCTAAGTCATCACCCCCCCTTGCGACATAAACTGCTGAAAATCACGGTTGCAAATTGAGCCGAGTTGATGGTTCTATTTTTGAACATTTTGAAAGTAATGAGATCACTTAAAGGGTATCACAATAAAATGATAGTATTGTTCATTGTTGATGACATAACTTTTGGACTAAATTATAAAGTAAAAATTTTTTGAAGTGACTAATTGACACAGAGAGGTTGAAAGACCTAAAATGTAAAGTCAAATAGCATTTTAAAAAAAGTAATTTGGTTGAATGAACAAGTTAGATTTGGTAATATTAAATTCCCACAGTTCTGTGGTAGATAATTCATAAAAGAAAATAATATTACCTTAAATAGTAATAAATTCTTTGATTCTTTGATTTGTCTTTTTATGTAATAAGGATTATATAAGAATAACTAGTTAATAACCAGTATCAAACAATTCAATGATAAATGAACTTTCCCTAATTGTAATAATAATGTAGTACGAAATGGTTTACTTTTTTAATATATTATATAATAAACAAAAAATAAAAATTTAAAGAGCTGTCAATAACATGATTTTTATAAATAAATGTACAACCAAATACAGTTTTGATAACTTTTTTGATTTATATGATGTTCACATTGTTAGATTGGTGTAACTGATCTAATGATCCAACAAGAACCATTTTACATGCGACCTGTTATTGAAATGTTTTTATTTCACACATGATATCTTGGGAAGAGGAAGTGATTTTAACTTTTTATGGATTTATATAAGGGTGAGAACAAAAATAAAAAGGAATTAATTCTCGCATGATAAAATGTTGCATTATTGAACATCTTTTCCTGTGGTTAAAAAGAGAAGAATTATAAGGTCAAACAAATAATCGTCATCGCAACACACGAATTGAGAACGTAAAAATTTTTTGGATTTTCTAAAAAATCTTAATTTGGTGAGGCACGGAAATGGATGTTCATTGAACATCTTTCGTTGTTGTAATTCGTACAGTTTTATTTGTTACATGTGTGCAGAAGTGTTCGAATGTAAGTTCTCCATGTTAAATTGTATCACCAAATGGGCAGAGCAAATTGCAGAGAAATCACGGACTTGGCTGAATTAATTACTGGATAAGTAAGTCATATTTATATCATATGCATGCCCCAAATAATAAACATAATATTTCGCCTCAATTAAAAAAAAGATTCTCCATTTATAATTTTTTTTTTTTTTTTTTTTTTTTTTATTATTGTTATTCCCAAATTTTTTTTTTTTTTTAATGTTGTTTAAAAACATTGATTTTATTTTTATGTGTAGGTTACTGTAATGCTACGCCATTATAATGAAGAAAGAAATTTTTTTTTTTTATCAATCTGGAAAGTTTTAAAGTATATCAAATTTTTTATTATATTATTATTATTAAAAGTTATTAAATTTTTAATTCTGTTTTAAACAATATTTGTAATATTTGTCACTCCCAGTTCTCCTCCCCCCTCCCCTTTTGCCACTTGAGTTGCTTTTTTAGTCGAATTTTTTTTTTTTTTTTTTTTTTTTACGGTTGCTCACCTTTTTTGAGTTCGACTCCATCCTAAAAGTACGCAAATAAAATCTCGTTCCCTTCTTTTATTCGACCTTGTCGATAAGAATTGTTAACTATCTCTTTTATTTCTTTCTATCTTAAGTGCTCAACTAAATCTTTTGTTAAAACCTTGTGTACAAATAGATTTACCTTTCGTTTCGTCTCGTTTCCTCTTTAATTTATATAATAATTTAAGTTTTATAAAAAAAAAAAATCCAAATAATATTTTATCAGGTAAAATTTTACTTAATAACTCGCTCGTGGTTCAGTTTTAAATTAAGCCGTATTTTTGACGGGATATTGTTCACTACTTGAACGTATCATTTTTTTTAGATTCATTTTTCAAGATCTTTATATCATACTTATATTCATTTTAAATATTTTTAACTTTTTTTTCATTTCGTTACCCTTATTTCTCTTCCTTTTAGTTACCTATTTATTAACTTTTTTAAATGTCTCCAACGAAACTCAAGATCAAAGGCAATAAGGCATTCTCACTGTTATCCATCGAGACTGATGAGGATTTATCAAAGACATGGCGTTTAATGACAAAAGTGAAGGATGCATTGGAGTATGGAATGCGCTTAGAAAATTTATCATGGAGGCTTTGGTTCATGCATCACCTCATGGTTCATGATCAAAAGTCTCACTCTCAATTCAAAAAGTTGTCCACTGCCACAACAAAAAAATTAGAAATCGAAAAGGCTACGAACCTAAAAAGTTTATCGGTTCCACTTTATCGACCAAAGACTCAAGAAGTAATGATGGAAAAGAAAGGGAAGAAGAAGGCTACAAAAAAGCCGGCGTCTACTGGCGCATCACAAGTAAAAAAGTCGAATAATGTAAAGAATGTTAAAATCCCCAAAAATATCGCCGAATCATCTCTAGAAAATGAAAATGAAATCGCCGCCTCTTCATCTCCCACAAATACTCCCGACCATAGTGCCGATTATGGGCAACCTGATTATGGAAATAATGGTGAAATAATTGCTACGGTCACCTCCACCTCAACCAATGATCAAAGCAGCGCTGAATTAATGGATTTGGATACTCTTGATGAAAATATGACCTTAAATAGTTAGTTTTTTTTTTATATGAACGGATCAATTTAATCATTTGTTTTCTTAATTTTATATTTAATTATTATTATTTTTTTTTTTTTCAGTCGTTGATAATGGGACAAATACGCTTGCTTCTTCTGTTAACGAGAATACCCCTAGGTCGCTCGTAGATATTTTCAGATTCAGCGAAGTTAGCCAAGACTTCTATTTGCGTCAATATACAAATGATCAAGATCCATATCAAGTCGTTTCATTACCGGGGGTTTTTACTCCTTCGTTCGATGCTCAAGCCATATTGGATCCTAACAATCAACAACCTACAATGATGTTGGACTTGAATGAAGTCTTGAGTGTTCACCAATTTTATTCTTCTCCCGACTCATCGGAACCGCCCTCTCCCACAGATCTTGATTGGTACGCCGACAATGTTGCACAAAATTCTGATATGCAGTCAAACCTGCAGTTTCAAACGTTGAATAGTCAGTTGGTTGGTAGGACATCTTCGTCCGGATTGCATGATGCGGTCTATGTTAGAAATACCGATCCTACGCCCGTTAATGCTTCACACCTTAACATCACGATAACGTCAATGAATACTCCACACAATACCCCGCTGAACACCCCTCTTAATACTCCTGTCACCGGCTTATCTAACAGTAGTCTGATGAATAGTGTTTACCTGAACCAATTTCCCTCAGAGCAAAATAATACGAGTAATGCATCAGGGTCTCTTGGGCATCAACAGCAGCAATCACAACAATGTACTTCGAAATCTATAACGTCAACTTCTCCCTCTTGTTCGTCCACATCGTCGATAGATACGTCAACCACTGCCGCTCGTCCTTCCGCTAATGCCCCATCATCAACGTCCGAAAGTAGTAGACCTAAAAAGTCCCATTCGAATGGAGAACAACAATGTTTCAATTGCGGTGTGACTTCTACTCCCCTCTGGAGACGATCGGCCAATGACGAACTCTTATGTAATGCTTGTGGTTTATAGTAAGCGATTTTGAAAGTTAATTTTAATGAAATGAAATTTTTTGTTTTAACCGCTTTATAATTCTTATCAATATTTTTTTTTCATTTTTTTTTTTTCTTTTATAATTTAGTTTGAAATTACACAAGATGGCTCGTCCGAAAACCATGAAACCGCACATTGTTCGCAAAGATGCTCGTGATGATGAAGCTTCACAACCTGTCTGCTCAAATTGTAGAACGATGACTACACCGTTGTGGAGGCGCGATGAAGAGGGCCAAACCCTTTGCAATGCCTGCGGATTATAGTAATATATATTATTTTTTTTATCGTTTAAAAGGACTTTCGTTTCCTTTCTATAAAGTCGAATGATATTAATTCCTTGTCTGTCTCCTTTAGCTTTAAATTACATCATGAAAGACGTCCATTGTCCATGAAGACTGACGTTATAAAGAAACGACAACGATATGAGAATGGGCAAGCGCCTAGTCGCCGTGGAGGAAAAAAACGATTACATGAGAATAGTCAGCAGGAGATCCAACAACCGCCACAACAACCGCAACAACAGCAACAGCAACAAGGACAGCAACATCAAGTGGTGTATAATGGATCCAACAGGTCTATGAACGTTCCCTCAACAGCTGTTTCTCAAATGGGTCCAATTTCAGTTGGACAATCATCATCTTCCGGTTTGAACACACATCAATCACCTAGCACCACCCCAATAAATGGAGTATTTCCATGATTTCGATATCACTACCTCTTTCCTGAAAATTAAGATTTTGCATTTTTTCTCCTTTTTTTTTTTTTCTTCTTTTTTTTTAAAAAAAAAGAAAAAAGATTTTTAAATAATCAGTTAGTTTAATTTTTATTTTATTATATTAAAAAGTCTGGTTTATCACGGACCAATATTTACAAATATCATTATTGATTTGAACATTTTGTGAAATGTCAAGAAGAATGATATTTGTTTGGACTTTTAAACACTTTCTTTTTAGTTAATTTCGTTAATGGTGAATGATCAATTAATATTTCACAAAAATCTTATACCCTTCATAATATAAATAATTTTGTCACACAAAATAACCATTACCAACTCCTTAATCTCGCATCAGAAAAATGTGTTATTGAGTCGATATAACAAAAATTCAATTGAATTGAATTTTTAAAGCGTGATAACACATTGACGAACGAATACCGATGATAAATTTTCTTTGAATGATATAGTAAAAAAAAAACAAAAAAACAAAAAAACAAAAAAAAAAAAGTAACAAAAACAAAAAAAAAAAAGGGAAAAAAAAAAGTCAAGATCTTAATCACAATTCACATTAAGCCTATATGAGACGTTTTAAGATTAATGTAGATAATTTAAAAACATTATTAGCTTCTTTCAAAGTTGTCAATGAGAGTTTAATACACTATCAAAATTTTTTACTCTCCATTAAGATTATGACGAATTAATTTCCATATGGGCAAACTCCCCGAAATTGAATGAGATCGTTAGATGATATATATTCAATCAGGAACAGATGGAAGAGATAATAATTTATTTCTATCATTGTAATCAAATTTTTTTTTTCTTTGTAAATTTTTTCTTTATCACTATTATTTACCAATTTCAGTTCAATTTTATTGCTATTTATTATTTATTTTCAATCTTCATCCTCTTCTATTTGTAAAGTTTTATGTATACATTTTTTCTCTGTACACAATTTTTTTTCTTTTTGATACACAAGGTTATGAATTTTTTTTTTTCCCTATGAATGAATTTTTTTCCTGATTTAAAGAATACATATTCCTTCCTTTTTTTAAAATTACACTTTTTACACAAATTCCAAAAAAACAAAAAAATAACCTTTTTTAATACATATTTCACTTTCAATTACACAATAGAAAAATCCTCATTATAACATCTATCTAAACAAGAATCCTTACTCTTTATCTATATAATAAACAAGCAAAGAAGAAAATATATATATAATATATATTTTCTTTTTTTTCTTTTTATGCATGCATGCTCTAAATTTTATTTATGTCTCAATAGTTTCAATACCTTTCATTTTTTTTTGTTTTTCACTCACTCACTCACACCCTTCTTTTCTTTCTAAATTATTATTTTTTTGATTGATAATTTTTTTTTTTTCTTTCTCTCTTATTATTATTATTATTACCTTTTCTTTTTTTTTTGTGATATAATGTAAATAAATAATACTTCACAAATGGAAATTTTTTTTTTAAAAAAAAAAGTTAAATGTGATTTGTGATAATTTATTATTACTTCAGTTTTGACACTAAATCAAAGAAATTAATTAATAATCTTGTTTCTTGACTAAAGGTAAATTTGAAAAATAAGATTCCATTCAGATTATTTTATATGGCCTCAAGAGTTTTTCGTCATAATAAACGCGAAGTGCTTATTCAAAGAACAAGGATGATCTTTTTTATCATCAAAATAGATTTCACGAGAAAAAAAGAAAATAAAATAAAAAGGATTCACTTACATTTTTTATATAAGCTTAACAAAAAAAGATTCTACGTAATTAAACGTATCTTAAAGGTAATACAGGCCAATAGACTACATCGTCTTGATTAGATTTATCAAAACTTTGAGCAAATTTGGAATTTACCGCTGCTTCTAATGTATTGATTAATGTATAAGAATCTCCGTAGAATTCTTTAGATTCTATGCTAGGCTGATGATGAAATGATGGAATGAGCGTAGGATCCGGCCAAGGATTCAGGTCGATGAAATCATTATTTGAAGATGAGTTGGAATCTTTATCATCATCATCTGCTTTTTCTTTTGCGACTTTTTTTTTTTTTAAAAAAAAAAAATTAATCTATTACAAATTGAAATTCTTTTCATTCCTTTGAAAGAAAGATCGAAGCCAAATTAATTTACGTCGTTGCCGCCTTAATTCAGAAAAGCGAAACATTGCTTTTGCCTCCTCGCTTAATACGAACTCAATTTTAGGTTCTTCCGATTCTTCCTGTTCTACTTCTTTCTGGTATTGCTCTTGATACTCGTAACCTGTATGACCTTTCGCTTCTTCCTCCCCTTCCATTCTCCATAACCACCATGGAGGGGTGGTTGGTAATGGTAAAAAATTCCTATCCTGTTTAAAGTGAGTATGATGAAACTCACGAAAGTGAAGGAAATTTTGCGAGTCTGTATGAGTAGGAGGAGGCGGTGTTGGGTGAGAAGGAGGAGGATAAATTTGAAGATAATAATTGGGAGGTAGTTTATAAAAAGACATGTTTGAAACAGACAAACAAAATAAAATTTAATTTCTATTAGAGTAACTTTGACAATTGATTTTTTTTTTTAACCTTTGGGTTGATTAATTGATTGATTGATTAGATTTGAAATCGGTTTTATCATTTATTTGTTACACGACATATCTTAACATATGCCCAAATGAAAGCACGGATTCCCTTTTTTTTATATATATAAATAAAGTCATTGTTTTTTTTTGTTTTTCACTTGAATATTAAGCTTAGTTTAACACTCGTTACACGACATTATAAGCCAAAAGATTTTTTTTTTTTTTTTTTCGATAAAATATAAATATAAACCATATAAGCCGAAAAATTTTTTTTTTTTTATTTGCACGAATTTTTTTTTTTTTTTTATTATCGAAAAATTGAAAAAAAATGACACATCGTTCGTTGGATGAAAAACTTGAATCTTTAAACAATTTTGCGGCTTGTGATGTACGTTCAATCATTCAAAGATATTTGTGAATAATCCATGTATAAAAATTGTTATTATTCAATTGTCAAAAAGGTCGCCGACGCTCTCTTACAATTAAACCAGCCACTTGGAGGTTATTTACCGGATATCGTAATGTTTTCACCTGAATACCAAGCAGGCGATACCAAACTAATTGGTCCCGCGTACACTATTAAAGTGAATTTTTTTTTTTTTTTTAAAAAAAAAAAAAATTTTCTTCAAAATATTCATTTCATATATTACTACTTATCCAATAATAGCTTGTACCGAAATCCGATACTACATCGCCTATAATAGTTGGATCTTATGTACGTAATAAGCATTATTTGCTTCCGAAACGTCATTTTGGTTAATTACTTATATACAGTATATATATATGCGTGAATCGCTTAATATAATAAATAATAGGCTGATACGATTCCTGCTGGTAGTGTAGTGATCTTATCTGCTCCTCCAAGTTGGTATTTTCTTTCTTTTAATAATGATAATGATGACGATAACAACAATAACAACAATAATAATTATAATAATAATACTAATTTTCACAACTAGATGCTGTAAATGCTGTTTGGGGAGGATTAATGAACACGAGAGGAAAGATACTTGGAATGAAAGGTATCGTAGTTGATGGTAGAGTACGAGATCTTGCAGAGCTTCGATCTGATGGACTACCGGTACGCAATTAATTTTGAGATAAAAAAAGTTACAAGATAATATATGCTGATATAAACAAATGCAATTATGATTTTTTTTTTTTTAAAAAAAAAAAAAAGGTTTTTGCTAGAGCATCTACGGTTTTATCTTCAAAAGCATTTACACGTCCAACTGCACTTAATATTCCATTAACCCTTAACGGAAATCATGTTCCACCCATAAGAATTTTTCCGGATGATATTATTCTTGGGGATTTAGATGGTGTTGTATGTATACCTAAAAATTTATTGGATCAAGTTTTGGAAATATGCGAGCAAAACACAACTATGGATAAAAAACTTAAAGACGCTTTATGTAAAGGAACATCTTTAACTGATGCGAAGAAAACTTATAGAACGACCAATTGATGCATGATGCAGTACCTTTTTTTTTTTAAAAAAAAATGTATTGCAAATGTGTAATTAATAAATAAAATTTTGTTTGGACCTGTTATCTAGTCTGAATTATAATGTGTTTACGGAAGTTCCGGTGAGATACCAAAGGTTTAAATATCAGACCCGATTAATAAGTAAAAAAAACCCTGCATTGAAATCATTTTCTGTCATAATGTAACGGTGATTTCACCTTCGTTTTTATAATTTTTGAAGTTTACCATTTAATTTGAAGTTTTTTTTTTGAGCATCCTTGTTATGAAATGACGTTATATACTGTATGCAAAACCGTCTAGAAGGCTGTAAAAATGTCAGGAAAGTGTAAACCAGTCCACACACCCTCTACATAAACAAATAATTTAAAGTCCCCTTCATTGGAGAGACATCGATGTCCCGTTCAATGTAATACATTTTTGTATATTTTTATATTGCAGATATTTAAATCGAAAGTTTTAAGTTCATAAAATATGCAATTATTTATCATAAAGTCCGAGACTTTCTTTAGAATTCTAAAAATTTTATGGTACAATACAGCTTTGATGACAACTTCTAAACTTTCTCTCGTTTATCTTCTTTTTCGTATCAGTATTAAGTCGTATAATAAATGTTTTGCATTCTTCTCGTAACGAACTCTACAATTTTCAGTAGAGATTTTAAGGATGCATTACCGAGACGAATGAGTTGTCGATATCAAAACATCATGTTGCTAAAACACTTTGAAAAAAAATACTTTAGTATTTCCTATGCGAGAAACATGAGAAAGACGTGTGTTTTGGTAGGTGGGTGGTTAATCAGGACTTTGATTGTCAAAGTGAAAAATATTCTATGAAACTTTTAATCGAAAGATTTGTGGTTTATGAATTTTTTACAATTTGAAAGTGACAAACTGAAAGTAAGCGGCCTTTTAATTTTGCTATTGGGTTATTTTTATCCGCATAAAAACAAAAAAAATTAAATCAAACTGCGTGGTGTGATGATTCATAAACTTCAACTACAAGGCTAAACCCTCTAGCTGAGAATAGGAGTTTGATATTTATATCTCGTTTGATTAAGGAATGATTAAGCAATGATTGCAATATTAAATCACATTTCAAATGAAGTGATTTTATAATCATTATAAATATCATAGTTTAATAATCTTTATAATCTTGTAGACTAGAATCAAAAACCTGAAAAAGAACGCGTCCAAGTTCTTGAAATTATATAATAAAGTAACTCGAGAAGTGATATTTTTAAAAAAATGTTTTTTTCCCTTTTAATTTGTTAGACACTAAGATTTTAATATTTATAGATATAAAGTCTCGAATACAAAATCATATTCGTTGAATAATAATCAGAATATGAATGGATTATTGGATTCGTCAGTTTTTCTTTTTTATACGCCAGTATTTCTTATCCTTTTGATCTTTTATTATCTTTCGCATGTTTGGAGTGATGATTATTGGGAAGAAGGTGATAAAATTTATTCAGACCATATTAGTTATTTAACCATATATATATCTCTCTCTCTAATTCGCATTTCTCTCTTTAATGTGATTCATCAAGACTATACCAATATAGGTTTATCTATACATTTCACACCAACATTTTGTTATATCATGCATCTCTCACTTTTAGAATTATGTTGGTATTCGAAAGCCGCTCTACATTTACTTTATTTTATCTTAATTCTCATGTTAGTAATTCAAAATAAATACGCTGAAAGATTCTGGAGAGTTGAATATGGGCTGGATTCATTCACTATTTGGTATTACTTCGTAATAGTGTATACTTGTGTGCTTTGCATGATTTCTTTAGAAGTAGCGTTGAAAGAGGTTGATGTTATTTAGCAAAAAGCGTTTTTATTATTCTCTTTTAATTAATGACGCGTAAATATAATCACTCCTTTTAAATAATTCAAAAAAAAATTTTTTTTTTTTCGTCCCTATATAAAGTGACATAAATTACATGAATTAAAAAAAAAAAAACATAAAATTGAATAGAAATTTAAATAGATATGTATGACAATCAACGTTACGAAAACTTTATGTAGAAAGTATCGATGAAAGTTCATGTTCATTGATTTTTGATATACGCTCTATTTTGACACTCTAATATCCATTTATTATCTCTTATGATATAGAGCAACACTAGGGCGAAAAAATTTACTTAAATATTGTTCACTTACATATTGACTTCAATCAAATTTTTTAATCATCGCCTGGATTTATATTTTTTGATTTTAGATGTGGTCGTCTTTGCCGAAGTTTCCTTTTGTTGTTTGGCACTCCATTCTTTCCATTGCTCCATAAATGATTTGGTTTTTACTTCTGTTATACTAGGTTTATTAATTGGTAGTTTCAAATACTTTCGAACACCTTTATTTTTTAAGAAAGCATTTTGTGCAAAGGCTAACGTATTTGCACAAAGAAAATAAACAAGCACGGACTGCAATTTAAGACGAAGAAATAAATTATTGTTGTTAAAAAAAAAAAATAATAATAATAATTATCTTTAAAAGTATTCAAATTCGATACGTACGGAAGGTAATGTCATCGTGAAAGGAATTGATAATACGCTGACTCCGCGGAAGAACCATTTTATGCCCTTTCCTTGAGATGCTTTTACGGGCCCACTGTCAGTTCCCAGCTAAGTAGATAATTCAGTTTGAAATGAACTCAATATATAAATTCGAGTGAGTAAAAAAAAAAAAGATTATTACCTCTAACATTAGGATAAACCCTGCACTGACAAGAAAAGGTAAAGCCAAATTTGGATCCGGAGCAGTTAAATCTTTGAACCATAAAATCCCCCCATGATCAAAACCAGGTACACCAGCTGCGGCCATCTTTCTCAAAGCCATAAAAAAACTTATAAAAAAAGGCATTTGCATTAACGGGAACAATAAAGGTGTTAATGGACTTGTTCCAACGCTTGAATATAATTTTTTCAATTCTTCGGTTTTAGAATAAAGTGTAAATTGATCACGATTATTCCTTGCTTCACTTATTTTTTCCATTAATTTTTCAATTTGTGGTTGTATTTCCACCAATTTAGAAACATTTCTTTGATGATTTATTAATATCGGAAAAAATCCTAAACGTAGAATAAATGTTGCTAATGCAATTGTACCCCACCAAGGTAATCCTGTTGAGACATGTAACATTTCAAAGAATCCTTCCACGAATCCAACAGGTGTAAAATTAACAAGTCCCATCTCTTTAAAATCTCCCATTTTCAAGGCGGTTTCCATTATAGCATCTGATGATGTTTGCTCAATTATGTCCGTAAAATCGGATGCCGATTCAATATTATCGGTAACAACCTCTTGTAAGAATGGTGATGAAGATTCGAGCGTCTTATTCGAATCATCGTTATTTTGCGTTGTAATACTTCGACACATTTGATTCATTGTAAATGATTGAAATAAATTTATTTTATGAAATTTTGAAGACTCTGAAGGTCTTTGTATTTTTTGAGTAAATAAACCATGCTTTTCGTATACGTTTAATATCGACCTATTGCTATTCACTTTTGTTGAAAACTTTTTTAACAAAAAAAAAAGTTTTTAGAAGACCAACCAAAAAAAAAAAAAAAAAAAAA